GCTGCTGCTGCTGCTGTGGCTGGCGGCCGCCTGCTCCATCTTCCTGCACTCCCACGCCTGGTTGTCCGACTGCCTCATCGCCCGCCTCTATCTGGGCACCTTGGACTCCAGGTGTGCACGGCCGCTGCACAGAGGGGCCCAGGCTGGGATGGTACAGAGCAGAACTCTCTTCATCTCTCTGCCTGAACCACCCACAGGGCAAAGGCCAAGGGCCACGTGGGTGCTGGTGCGGGAAGTGATGGGGAGGCCATGGGACAAGCCTGATCTGTGGCCTCCTCAGGCCAGGGGTGCTGAAGGAGCCCAAACTGATGGGAGCAGTCTCCTTCTTCATCTTCTTCTTCACCCTCCTAGTCCTGGCTCGGCAGGTAAGTCTCCCAGCTCAACCCTCCAGAGCCTCCCTAGAAAGGGTGAGGCTGGGTCCCCATATATGTGACTTAGTCTCCCTCACCCTTTCCCTTATCTCATATTTCCAGGGGCGAACCCAAATGGTCTGTCTGTTGGAAGCTTCTAAGTGAAATTTCTTGCTCCCTTTCTTCTTCTTTGCTCCCCAACAGGAGTGCCCTTAAATCCTCCCCTCCGCCCCTCCCTTCCACCCCAATCTAGGGAAATCATGTTTAAGAAAAAATCCTCTGCCACTGCTGCCCTCCGTCATTTGAATCTAGATTCTTGGCAGTCTCCCTGGGCAGAGTTGCACGTTAAGTTTTTCTCTAAACTGGGGGTAGAGTGTGGTTTTAAGCATCATGGGGTGAGGGGGTGAATGCTCAGAAGCTGGACCCCCCTGTACTGTGTCTCCCCCTGGCCCCCTGTGACCCTCCACAGAATGAATATTACTGCCGCCTGGACTTTCTGTGGAAGAAGAAGCTGAGGCAAGAGCAGGAAGAGACGGAGACGATGGAGAACCTGACTCGGCTGCTCTTGGAGAACGTGCTCCCTGCCCACGTGGCCCCCCAGTTCATTGGTCAGAATCGGCGCAATGAGGTGACTCCCCACCCCGAACTCCTGCGCCGCAAAGGACGAAAGTCTTGGCCTGGCTCATCTTGTCTGGACTCCTGCCTGACGGGTTGGGCGGCCTCCCAAGCCCCCATGCCTGTCAGAGGCCTCCATTTTTACAAGTTCTTAGGCTCTGTCTTTGGTGAGCACAGTCTCTGCCTCCCAAGGTCTTACTGGGAAGGTCTGTCCTCTCTGATCGCTGCTCCCTACCCTTCAAAAGCCTCAATGAGTGTCAATAGGAACGGTGTGAAGGACACAGTCCTCCCATCTCTCTAGCCCTGCACTGTCCAGTTTGGTAGCCATTAGCCTCAGTGTGGCCGTTCATTAAAATAGAAGATTCAGTTCCTCGGTCACACTGGCCCTATTTCAAGTGTTCCACAGCTGCTTTGGCTAGTGGCCACCATATAGAACAGTGCAGCCAACAGAACATTTCCATCACCACAGAAACTTCTGCTGGATGCTGCTGCTCTAGACTCTTCTTTTCCCTACTGTTGCTTTTCTTTTTTTTTTTTAGTTTGAATAGCAAAATTTATTTCTCAGAGTTCTGGAGGCTATTACTGCTTCATTTTATCTTCCAAAGTATAGCTATCTTTGTAAGCTGACTTAGCACTTTTCAGCAATAAGATATAAAGATAATTCCCATGGGTATGATCCCAGTTCCAAAAGAGACTCCCTTCACATGGCTGTGAGGTGATTTTGACTCCGAACCTCTCTCTTCCCTGGAATCCCAATGAGACCCAATCTTTAACTCCTGGGTCACATCCCTGGGGTAACCTGACCCTTCCCCTCTCCTTCCTTCCTGATCCTTCTTACGCCAAGGGGGAGGAGTGTGGACACAGGGAGGAGGGCCCATATAGACCCAGAAGGGGGAAGAACATGGCATAGCCCCTCACCCCAGCCTCCTGCCCTCCCAGGACCTCTACCACCAGTCCTACGAGTGTGTGTGTGTCCTCTTCGCCTCAGTCCCAGACTTTAAGGAGTTCTACTCTGAATCCAGCATCAACCATGAGGGGCTAGAGTGTCTGCGGCTGCTCAATGAGATAATCGCTGATTTTGATGAGGTGACAGCTCCAAGGGTCCCCCCAGACCCTATGTCCTGGATTCTAGAATTTCCCACCAGGCCCTCCTTGCACTTCACTGTCCTGGCCAGGAGGACCATCCTCCCCTCCCCAGCCCTCCTGCTCCTCCTCTGATCCCCCAGCTCTGCCCTCCCCAACAACTCCGCTCACTGCCAACTCTTACCCTGCCACCATCCCTGACCCCACAATTGGTCCTTTAGCTTCCAAAAGCCTGGGGCTGGGCTTCTGGGAGAGAACCAGAGAGATCAGGGACACAGCCTCCTTTCTGTACAGCTGCTCTCCAAGCCCAAGTTCAGTGGTGTGGAGAAGATCAAAACCATCTGCAGCACCTACATGGCAGCTACCGGCTTGAATGCCACCTCTGGACAGGATGCACAGCAGGTACTGCATCCCTTCCTTTCCTACTAACCTTCTTTTGGGCTCTCCTTGGCGGGCCCACAAGTGGGCCTTATCCCTGTGCCTTCATTGACCCGTCCTGGTGGGCTGGCCCTTTGCCAGGATGCTGAGCAAAGCTGCGGCCACCTTGGCACCATGGTAGAGTTTGCTGTGGCCCTTGGGTCTAAGCTGGATGTCATCAACAAGCACTCATTCAACAACTTCCGCTTGCGTGTAGGTGAGGACCCTCCCTTCCTGGGGCAGTTTGGGACCTCCTTCTCACCTTCCCAAGCTCTCCCTCCCCCAAGTCCTTTGTTAGCTGCTCCCCAGCTCATCTCAGGAAACCCCTCCAGACTCACCCCTTGGGACGGAGCATGAAGCTGGGAGGCCCATCCACTTCCTGCCCTAAGCAGCACTCCTCTAGCCTGTCCTCCTTGCCTCCAAGGCCCCCAGCACCTTCGGTCTAGTTCCCTGAGGTTTCTTTTCCCCCTCTCCTTCTTCAAAACTCCCCCTCTTTACACCTCTTGTCAGGGTTAAACCACGGACCTGTAGTGGCTGGAGTGATTGGGGCCCAGAAACCACAGTATGACATCTGGGGCAACACGGTGAACGTGGCCAGCCGCATGGAGAGTACAGGGGTCCTGGGCAAGATTCAGGTGAGGGATCCCCTCAGGCGCGGGGGCCGGGGGTAGGGCAACGGACAGCCCCGCATTCCCTCACCCCTTTCCAATTGCAGGTAACAGAAGAGACAGCCTGGGCCCTGCAGTCCTTAGGCTACACCTGCTACAGCCGGGGCATCATCAAGGTCAAAGGCAAAGGGCAGCTCTGCACCTACTTCTTGAACACAGATTTGACACGAACTTGACCTCCCTCGGCCACCCTAGGCTGAGAACCCAACCCCGTCCTCTCCATCTCATCTGTAAGATCCTCAGTAAAGAGACTCTGGTATGTCTGGGCTAGAATTGATGTCAGAGGCTGCTAGTTTAGCTGAGGAGCATCTTCTCCTCACCGCTCAGTAGGACTGCTTCCTCCCAGGCCAAACTGAATGTGTGTGCGCAAGTGTGAGCATGAGTGTGTTAAAAAGGAGTGATTTTTTTCTCACAAGCTCAGCAAAAGGACTGCCTCTGCCTCCCTGCCTGCCTGCCAACCTGATTCCAGTATTGGGGACCCTTGGAAGTAGAAAGAATTTTATCCACATGACTCAGAACAAAGATTTGTTCTCTCCTGCTTCCCACCCACAAACACTGGAAAGAACCTCCAGAAAAATGTCATTTCATCTTTATTCACACAACAAACACTAAATAAGTACCTGTTATGTGCTTACTATGTAGCATGGGTGGGAGGCCTGGGATATAATCTATTAGGTCCCTCCCCATTCCAGCTGCTGTTCTCAAGCTGACCCACCATGCTTTCTAACAAGGACATGTATACGGTTGGGGGTCTCCAATTCTCAGGTCTCTCAGATTCTCCCTTGCTTCCTTTTGCCTCCTGCCCAGATGCTGATATTACATAGGTCCTGAAGCATCCATGACTCATCCTTGCTCACATTTTGGGGTCCATGAGAGGTATCTTGATGTGCAGATGTTACATGAGGATTTTTTACTTTTCTCCTAGTTGTCTTTCTCTTTTTATGCAAGAGATTCAAAAAGTAAACTGCCACTGCCGTCTTCTTAAATGCTGTCAGAACAGAGCCAGTCCAAGGCTCTCCAAGACAACAGTCTTCCCAAGTAAAAAATGACCGAACCGTCTCACTTTTGCAAATCTTCATTTCCTAAGGGTGACCTCATCACAGAGGGCCTTCAGCTCCAGCCTGCGCCACAGCATTTTAGGGGCTGGCAGGATGCTGGTGTGCAGAGTTCTAGGGAATAAGATCTGATGACTTGGCTTGCTGGTGAGACTGCCTCGGGAGAGAGAGGGAAAAGAGGCAATCCCCTAAGAGATTGTCCTCTCCCATTGAGAGGACACAGAGTACTGGCAGGAGGTTGGAGTCCCACTAACAAAGATCCCCACCCCAGCCCTCTGGGCAGACACCTCCTAGAAGGTCTAAATATTCTTCCTGTGCTGAGTCAGGGAGTCTGGTGTGATGGGCACACCTGGGTGGTCTTCCTTGGCCAGCTCCTTCAGGGGTCTGCAGACCTGTGTTGTTCCAAGTATGATCTGCAGATCACCTTCCTCAGAATCGGGGTGGGAAGGTCTGATTTCTCTGTCTCTGTGTCCCAAAACTGAAAAGCATGGGAAACTAAAGGATGTGCCACTCTGCGCTTGAGAAGGAGCAACCAGGAGCACCCCAGTCCTCCATCATGAACACATCACACAGACCGGAGGTGACCCAGTTTCAGACTTCAGTTTTAATTGTAAAGCTGCCTGTGGGGACCCGGTTCCCATTCAGCCCTGACTTGTGCCCCTCCCCCGCTTAAGCTCCACTCTCCCACCGGCGTTCTCTTCCTGGGGGAAGGAGGGGGATGGTCAAAAATTGGGTCAGGCCAGCGGGGAGGGCATTCCCCCAAGCTAGGGTCTTTGCGCTGCGGCCAGCCAGCAGGCCTAGTTGAGTTCGCTTCACTCGAGAGGGTTGGTGGAGGCAGTGAGGCTCTCGGCGGGGTCAGGCTCGGGAGAGGCGGGGGTGCCCCTCACCGTCTGGGCCAGGGAGCCCCCGCGACGGCTGCTGGATGCCTCGGAGCCGGTGCCCTCCAACAGCTTGGCGACGAAGCCCATGCCGGCCGAACGCAACAGGCCGCCCCCGGCGCACGCGTACAGCACAGGGTTCACGCTGCTGCTCAGGAAGGCCACCGTGATGAGCACGTGGCGGGCCAGGAGCAGCCGCTTACCCACCGATCCGGAACCCAGGGCCTTGCCCGCTGCGGCGCGGAACCCCTCGGCCAGGTTCACCACGTGGTAGGGCAGCCAGAAGGCGGCGAAGGCCAGGATGATGAGCGCCACCAGGCGGCCGGTGCGGCGGCTGCGGCGGAAGCGCCGGGCCCGCAACCTGCGCCCGATGTCGCAGTAGCTGGCCACCACGACCAGGAAGGGCAGCAGGAAGCCGGTGATCACCTCGAAGAACAGATGGAAGGCCCGATGTCTTTCGCTGGGATATGTCAGGAAGCAGGTCAGGCTCCTATTGTCCGGTCGCAAGTGCACCGTGCGGTACAAGAGGACGGGAGTGGCCAGCAGAACAGACACTACCCAGATGCCGGCCAGCACCCGCCAGGCGACTGCCTTGGTGCGCAGCTTCTGGGACACAAAAGGGAGGGCCACTGCCAGTGAGCGGTCCAGACTCATGGCCGTGATAAGCAGGACGCTGGCATACATGCTGACTCCACAGACATAGTGGAACAGGCGGCAGCCGGATGTTCCGAAAGTCCAGGTGCCTTGGGCCACAGAGTGGAGGAAAAAGGGGGCAGTGAGCAAGACGGCCAGGTCGGCCAGGGCCAAGTGCAGCACCATCAGGGCAGTGACAGAGCGCTTCGGCAGCTTTGCCAGGATGCTCCACACCACAAAGCTGTTGCCAGGAAGCCCTACAGCCAGTGCCACTGACAGTACGATGATGACCAGCAGCGAGATGAAATTGACACCTGGTGAGGAGGGTGCCGCAGGAGATGTAGTGTTCATGGCTATAGCAAGGACCTGGAGAGTGAGGGTGACACGCACATGAAGGAAGGGTTTCCTGACACTCTGGACACACCTAGTCTGGGTACTCTCATCCGTCTCCAAGATCAGTGCCATCAGATGCTGCTCACCAGGGTATACTACCCTCATCATGACCCACTGACCTGTCTTAAGGGGATCTGGCTGAGTAGAAAGATTAATTTCCTAACTGGGCCACAGAGCCCCTTCCTGCCCATAGACCCAATTGCAAAATATACAGCAACAGCAGAAGCAGTATTTCCAGACCCGTCAGCCACCGTCCCTTAGGAGACCCTAAAACCCAGAACCAAAGTGGAGGCTTTCCTTAACAATGCTGCACCTCTCAAAAGGCTAGCTCCTTTCCCCTACCACCCCCCCCACCCCGGCCAGACCCTCAGCCCACTCAAGTGCCACTGACCTCTTCCAATCACCTACCCACTCCAGAGGTGCCCAGGGTCCACCAAGAATAACAGGGATGGGGAAGATTTCGTGGACAGGAGACAAGACCAAGTCCTCTCAAGTTCCTTTACCACTGGTCAGCTTGCTTTGGAAGTCCTTTGGACTTTCTCTTACAGCTGTGCTCCCTCCCCCCACCTCCCCTACTCCAGGGTACTTACTTAAGGCTTTGCCGGGCACTGGTTGGAAGCTGGTGCCAGTCCCAGGGTGAGGGCAGAATGGCGTAGCCTATCCCCAGATCTGTGCTGGTGCCAGGGGCCTGGCCTGGAGTCTGGGTGCTGTGAGTTAAGTCAGCTAGAGAGGAAGTACCAAAGAGCAGGGGAGGGGAGATGCACCTTCCTGAGGGTGGGGCGGAAACTCCTACCCGCTCCCTTCACTAGGTGGGGTGGAATAGTCTTTGTGTTCCAGAAGAGCCCAGTGGGAAGGAGGACTCCTCAGGGGTGGGGCCAGAAGAGAAGAGCCCCGAGAGGGGCAATGAGAGAGGAAAGAGGAGTGAGGGGGTGGGTAGGCTGAACTGTGGCCTCAGATGAAGGTCGAGACTGAAGAATCGAACAGAATAATGAATTGTTGTCATGCAAGAGAAGGAGAGAAGGAAGCCAGAGAGGGGAAATGGACTCAGACTAAGAGGTCAGAATGTTGAATATCTTTGTATCTTCTGTGAACGATGTAGATTTTCAGATTAATAGGAAATGTGGGCTGGGGCTCGGTTCTGGGTTTGGGTCAGGTGATGTCATGACTTAAAGAGGACAGCACTCTGTCTTTGACTTGGTTTCAAGCCATGACTGGGATTTGGTGGAGAGGACCCCCTTCCAGCACCCTCCATCCCTCCCCTCATTTAAAAGAACTAGCTCCATTCTAGGTCCATCTCCCTTTTCTTTCGTAGAAGCCAAATGGTCTCTCTAGTATCACACAGAATGACAATTTCTTCCCCTTCCTGAAGCACTTGCCTCGCACTGCCAATGTGGCTGCGCTGCCACATGAATTTGGACTTAAGATGTGGGGCTGGGCAAGTAAGTCAGCACTACCTCTTTCCTACCTTCCCATAGCTGACTTCTGTCCCACCTTAGACACAGAGGGAAAGCAGAGATGAGCACAAGAAGCAGACATGGGAGAGGGGGGAACCAGGAATGTGGAAAGCGAAGCAGCCCCCAAAAGGATCACTCTTGCCCCTCCCTGGAAGGAGGGCAGTCTCCTCTTCTTGACTCTCCTGCAGAAGCTAAGAACCAAGAAGTCTAATCTTCAATCCAATCATGAGCCTTCCTGCTTCCCTTCCAACTCCACCACTTCTTGGGAAATATGCATAATGGTGGTAATGGGTAAGAGTGTAATGGTGGTCATTGAGGCCCCTTAACCTTTGTAGTGGCCCCAGCTTTCCTGCTTTGAGAAAAGCCAGAGCAGGACTTCCCTGTGGTTAAGAATCTGCCTGCCAATACAGGAGATAGGGATTCAATCCCTGCTCCAGGAAGATTCCACATGCCAAGGGGCAACTAAGCCCGTGTGCCACAATTCCTGAACCTGAGCCCTAGAGCCTTCAAGCCACAACGAGAGAAGCCCCCTCAGTGAGAAACTCACACACCACAATTAGAGAGTAACCCCCACTCACCACGACTTGAGAAAGCCCGTGCGCAGCTATGAAGACCCAACACAGGAAAAAATAAGTAAATTAAATTTTTTTAAGAAATAAAAAAAGAGAAGAGCCAGATCAGAGTTGACCCAGCAGCTCTCAGCTAGAGGATATGATGAAAAGAGATGGGCTGAAACTGCAGTAAGAGCTGGAGGCAGAGTTGAGAAAGAGCCTTCTGGCCACAGACGGCGTGTGGGATAGGAAATGTGTAACTGAAGTTAGGAAGCCTCTGCTCTGGTGCACGAGGACAGGAAGAAAGCCATGAAGTTAGTGTTTGGGGATAGAAGCTTCTGGCTCAGAGCTCTGGGGTCACCCAGAGGCCCCTTCTGACAGGAACTAGGTTGTCTTTGCCTCCTCTTCCAAGCTGCTCCCCACCTCCCATCTCTCTCTATGGTCTTTCTCCCTCTGCCCCAGACTAGACACTCTAACCATACTTTCTGCCCCCTCCCCCAAGTCCAGAGCTCTGTCCAATCCCAGTTTTGGTGACCCTGGCCCGACCCTGAGGACTGGATTTCCTCTAACTTGACTTCTGCCTGGGTGGTGTAAACAGTCAAAAAAGCAGAACCTAGGGTGATGGTCGGTGTGACCACTCAAGTAATCAAACATTTACGTTTGTTAGAGACGCAGGGGCCTGGGACAAGAGACTTGCAGTGCTAAAACTGAGAAAGTCCTAGACAAATGGGGATGAGCTGGTTATCCTAATGACCACACGTGTGTGCACATGGACATCCCCTAAAAAGGACTCCATCCTACATTCCCAAACTCAAAAAGTGACAGGATCCAGAACAATTTTGAGACCTAGAGAGATTCCAAAAGATGGGAACCGAGAAGTATTGGGGGAGGTGAGGAAAAGCTAGCAGTCTTGGGAGAAGCCAAGACTTGGCAGAGAGGAAAAAGAGAGAAAGGAGAAGTGGCATCTCCCTGAAAAATTCCTTTTGTCTTCCAGATAGCCACACCGTTCCTCATACCCATCAATTCCAACCTCCAGAAGCCTCCTGGATGAATGAGTGTCTGCTCCTGAGTGCCTTTTTTGAGTCAGGTGACCTTTTCAGGGAGAGTTACATTCAGAGAAGGTAAGTCTCCGACGTCCAAGGCCCCTCCCCCGCTGTGCCAACCACAAGACAGACAAGAAAACTTTCCTTTCAAACCCTACAGACTGACTTTCCCTTCCCAGAGCCAGTTTCCCACCCACTTAGCTCTAACAGACCCGGAGAATAGATCTTATCACCATCTCTCTGCCAAGCACTCACACCTTCCCTTCCTCTTTCTCCATTTATTTCCAGAGTGGTTCTATGGGTGGGCTTGGGGGAACCAGGCCATCTGGGCTAGGGAGGACAGGTGAAGATGCCACCGAGGGCTGGCATTGCCCAGCCTCGGCCTGACCCAGCTAGCGGTGAGCTAGGTGACATGGGGTAGTTTCACTCAAGTAGGATGACCCACTAGAGGGAGCACACTTAAGCCATCCTGTAATGTATTTCACACAATTTCACAGTGTCTTTCACAATAGCTTTTGGCAACAAGTTAGCAGCTCTGGCACCCGGGTACATGCCAGCCTGCAGGTACATGATATTCTTTAAAACGGGCTATCACCACTGCCAGTCCTGGGAGGAACCTGGGTCTGCCCCAGATGTATAATAATTCTGCCCAGAGAGATCTCAACGCTGGTGGGAGAAGAATCCCCAAACCATCCAGAGTGGTTCCCTGGTTCCAAGGGGGCGCTGGAAGGGGTCAGGGAAGAGCAGGCCTGGTGGTAGGGTTTGACGTCAAGGGTCCCAACCCTGACTATCCTTCTGCGCCCCGCCCCCAGGGTCTCCATTGCCACCGCCCTGCCCCACCACTTTGAGCCGAGGGGTAGCTCGGAGCTCCAAGGTCCCCTCCCTAGAGCGGCCGCCCCCTCGGGCCTCTCCGGAGCCCTCAAAGAGCCGCATGAGGAAGCGGGGACCCGCCCGGGGCAGGAGATCCCCGGCGGTGAAGAGGTAGAGCACCGGGTTGATGCTGGAGCTGAAGAAGGCCAGAGCCGTGGTTCCGGCTCGCGCCGCCTGGCCCGCCCCGCCCAGCCTGGCGAAGGCCCCTTCGGGTGGAGCCAGCGCAGCGAGCACCTGCAGCACATTGACGGCGTGGTAGGGGGCCCAGAGCAGGCCGAAGGCCAGCACGATGGCGCCCACCAGCCGGCCCACCCGCGTCACGCGCCGCCCGGAGCCCCAGCGGACGCCCCGCAGCCGCGCCAGCGTCACGCCGTAGCAACCGAGCACCAGCCCGAAGGGCAGCACGAAGGCGGTCAGAGTCTCCAGGCTCAGGTGGGCGGCGGCGTGGGCGGCCGATGGGTGGCACAGCTGGCACACACGGTCCGCCCCGAGGTGACGGTAGACGGCCGCCGGGGTGGCGAGCACCAGGGCGGCCAGCCAGACGGCCAGGAGCAGGCGGCGGGCCAGGGCCGGGCTGCGTAGCCGGGGCGCCAGGAAGGGGCGCGTGACGGCGAGGCAGCGCTGCAGGCTGAGCAGGCCGGTGAGCAGCACGCTGGCATACATGCTGAGCGCGCACACGTAGTACACGACCTTGCAGCCCGCCTGGCCCAGCGGCCAGGCCTGCCGGGTCAGGAAGGCCACGAAGAGCGGCGTGAGCAGCAGCACCGCGCCGTCGGCCAGCGCCAGATGCAGCACGAGCGTGGCCGCCAGGGGGCGCCCTCGGGTGGACCGCCAGCCGGCCAGGCTCCACACCACGAAGCCATTGCCCGGCAGCCCCAGCAGCGCCGCCAGCAGCAGGAAGGCCGTCCCCGTGGCCCGCGAGGTCTTCCAGCTCAGCAGCGTCTCATTCCCTGGCGGACGGTAGCAGGCCGACATTTTGTGCTCACAGGAGGCTGGAAAGGGCCGTGGGGCGCATTCAGGTGGGGCAGAAGCCCACGTTCCGCCTGATGCCAGTGAGAAGGGACTGAGCGTCCCTCACTCCTCTGCAGCCTGCCTCTGTTTTGTCTGGGGGCCTCTCTCTTCCCCCCCCAGGACCCCAGCCCCAGCTCAAACACTACTCTTGGAACCCGTATCCCCTGCTCTCTGTCGGGCCACCTCCCCAGTCCTGACTCCCAGCTGTCCCTGCCTCCACCTCCACCATTCTCACCTAGCCTCTCCTTGGTCCAGCCCCATTCCCTGTATGTATACACCGCAGGGTAAAAGTGAGTGGTGGGGACTAAGGTCTAGCGGGCAGATCTACTTACCTAGCTGGGCAGAAGCAGGATTGGGGGCTCTCCAGGGGCTGGGGACGCCCAAAGGCAAAGCGGCAGTGGGCAAGTTGCCTAAGTCGGTCCTGTCCCTGTTAGGTTGGCAGAGGGTGAGGCAGAAACAGGGAGGGACAAGGTGGGGCTCCTCTTGGGCCTTTCCAGGAGCCCTCCCTCACCGGGCTGCTTCCCATCACTAACTCGTCCAGGCATGTGAGAGCCTGCCTCCCCAGGAAACAGGATAAGCTGAGGGGGTGCAGGTAAGGTTCCCCTGGTGTGTGGGTGAGTAGGGACACTGCCTGATCCTGCCCCTGGGTTCTACCTCTGCACTCATTTCCCCCCTGCAACACACACACACACACCCCTCCAGTTCTCAGCCCTCCCACCCTGCAGCTCTTACTCTGTCCGACGTCCCTTGCCAGCTCTCCGCAGAGAAGGCAACCCAACTCCTCATTCCCATAGCTGCTGTATCTTTGCCTGTTTTCGGACTCCTGACCCTGCTAAGCCCCACTTTTCCTCAGCTTCCTACCTACCCCCTCACCTCCTGCCTTGGGCCCTGCCCCACTCACTCCAGCCTCATGTCTCTCAGAGGGCTATCAATGACAGCTTTCAGTGAGAGCATGGGGCTAAGTTCCCGGGGGGAGTGGGAGATGCACGGAGGTGGGACGGGCTTAGCTGCGTGAAGAGTTGTGGCACACACCCATGAAGAGGCCACACTACTGGGCTGCACCAGGATACAAGGTGAGGGAAAAGGAGAGGCTGCAGTGTAGAGACATACTGAAAGGAAGCCTTCTCTGGGTGGAGAGGCCAGGCAAAACTTAGAAATGAAATTTGGCAGACTGATAAAATTGAGGGAAGAAGGAAAAAGGCTTCTGCCTGTCAACAGCCAGAAAGGGGCTCCTTGGGCCAGGACACCAGTATTGTCTCAGTTTGGTTTCCCTCCCAGCAGAGCTTGAGTCGAGGGTATGGGTACAGGTAATCCTGTCTTTAGGGGGTCAGCTTGGGAAGCCAGAGTGAGAGCAAGGGAAGGAGAAGAGGGGAGCCAGTGAGAGCGTGTTACTGAGTTCCTGCAGTGGGCTCCAGGAACCTTTGAGCACGTAGAATACCTTCCGGAAGGACAGAAGGCCGATGTTTATGTCCAGCTCGCCTTCCCATTGTTTGAGGGTTGTCCTAGAGGCTTTAACGCCCTAATGCACACTCGCAGCCTGCACTGTACACCTTCAGACGAGGCTCCTGGACAGTGTGTGTGTGATGTGTTCACTGACAGTGAGAGTCTGAGCTTCCACACAACTGTTCATCACAACCGTAGCTGAAGTGAGAGATGGGACACGGGATACCTAAAGCTAAGGTCCATCAAAGAAGGCATTTTCTCTGCCCCCAACCATGACTGTGTGTGCTGTCTGACTCTTTGCGACCCCATGGACTGTAGTCCACCAGGCTCCTCTGTCCATGGGATTCTCCAGACAATACTGGAGTGGGTTGCCATGACCTCCTCCAGGGCATCTTCCTGACCCAGGGACTGAACCCGCATCTGTCTCCTGCATTGGCAGGTGGGTTCTTTACCATTAGTGCCACCTGGGAAGCCCCCTCCGTGACTCCTTCATGCTAATTAAGTGGCCAGTGGGAGGGAGAAGTGAGTGACTAATCCACTGTGACTGAAGCAGGCAGTTCTAGAAAAGGAAGTCAGAGAAATGTTAAGCCAGCCCTTCCCCTGGACCACAGAAGGAAGAGTAGGAAAGCAGGAAGGTCAGGGTCCCAGACAGGATCCTGATGATCCTGGATCCATGGATCACACCCCATGGGCGCACACGGCCTCCTATCCTGTTTTCTCCAAGCCCTGCGGGTCCTCTGCACAGCCTCCCTTTTCCTAAAACTGCAGTTCATTTTTTTTTCAGTAGGTGGCAGCACATACAGAGCAAATCACACAAGGCAGCTTTGCACAGATTGGCAGCTAGAAATTCCCTCCATATAAAGAAATATGCCAGAGATTACATTCCATCCAATTACTCTCACATCACACACTGTTTACTCTCACATCACACACTGCCACCAGAGACACACACAAAACCTCCACGGCTTTTGTCCTGGCATCTCAGGACCTCAATCCTTCCACCACCACGCCCCTCCCCTCCCCCACCTTGGACTTTGCCCTGCGTGCTGGCCAGGCAGAGGGGGCCAGAGTCCAGGCTTGACTCATCCCCCGACTCATTGCGGCTGAGATCTCAGCTCCATAACAGAAAACACCACCACTTCAGCTCCAACCCAGCAAAGAAGCACCCAGCCTAGGACTCCAGGGAGAGGCCTCTCTCCGGGTCCCTCCCTCCACCATGGAGTACCTCTCTAACCTGGACCCCAGCGGCCTGCTCAGGTGACTCCTAACCCTCCACTCCACTCTCCAGCTCTGGGTATATGGGCAGAGCCACAACGCTCCATTCAGCCTCTAGTTTCTTAGACTCTCCAATTTGTATCCCTCTGCCTCCCTGCCACCACTTGTCACAGTGGGCTTGTCTAGATTCTGACGCACACCCAGCCCCCCATTCTCCCCATTCCCCCTCCAGCCCCCCACTTCCTCCACCCCCCGCTCAGTAGTCTCCTCCTCTCCCTGGGCCACTCTAATCTGCACACCTAGATCCTCTCTCCCAACTCCCCTAACACTGCAGCTACCCCACCCACGCCCATCACCCCCAGGGCACTCAGCAGACCTCTCACTCCTTGACCTTCCTTCCCACCTACCAGGTCAGTATCCAATATGAGCTCCGATTTGGGCCGAAAGGTCTGGACCTCGGCTCCACCACCCCAGCGACCTTTCCGAGTCTGTGATCACAAGCGTACCACCCGGAAAGGCCTGACAGCCGCTACCCGTCAGGAACTGCTAGACAAGGCGAGTGAGTCAAGTCCCTGGATTCCAAGAGTGGGGGCAGCCAAGGGGCTAGTCAAGAGGGAGAGCTTGGAATGAGCAGAAAGAGCTGTGGTTATTACATGGCTGCCCCTCCCTCTGAGGGATGAAAGCAGGGAGGTCAGCCCAATGGGTTCTACTGCATTTGAGGCGATTCATTTTTTTTCTAAGGAGCGAGCTTGTCTTTGGGGGTGGGGAAGGAGTGGATAGGGTTGGAACAATACATTTCAGAACTCCAATGTATGGAACGGCAATGTCTGACAGACCAAATTCAAATCCTGATTCTGCCGCTTCCTACTGTCAAACCTTGGGAAGGTATTCAGCCCATCAAAACTTCAGTTTCTTCATTTGTAAAAAGGAAATGATACAGCTACCTCCTAGGGCTGTGGAAAGGTGTAGAAGATAAAGTATGAAAGTTCTACACAGATACTTGACCCTCGTGAAGACTCAAAAAGGTGAAAACAGTTCTGGAGAACTCTGTGAGGGTGGGGCATTGGAGATGAGACCCCATCATGGCAGGCCTTGTCAGCATAATACCTTTACACCAGAGAACTTGGCTAGCTTTTCAATTCCAAACTGGCAGGTGTGGCTTGGAGGGAAGCTGGGAGAGATGTCAGTGTCATGGTAGGAGCAAAATAGGACAAATAAGAAAACAACAGGCCCTAATGAGGGTTTCCCAACAACTAAAGAACACTGTGAGCTGGAGCCTTTTGAAGGGATGCCAGAGAACCAGGGAGGAGAGTTGGGGTTATCAACCAGCACCCAGGGCCAACTGTTAGGTGCTGGGCAGCTGGACAGGGATGGGGCACAGGATAAGCTCTGCCCCTCCCCTCCTGCTTCTTGCCACTGGGCAGGCTCTGGAGACCCTGGTGCTGAGTGGAGCGCTCACACTGGTGCTGGAGGAAGATGGGACCACTGTGGAGAGCGAGGACTTCTTCCAGCTGTTGGAGGATGACACGTGCCTGATGGTGCTGGAGTTGGGACAGAGCTGGAGCCCCCGCAGGGTGAGGCCCATACTGGGGCTGCAGACCACTGATCCCTTCTGTCTCTCCCAAGCCTCTTGTCTCGCCTAACCCTGATCTTGGGGGCAGAGGCAACGAGAGAGGTGAGGAGTTGTCAGAGGCTCCTCATAGTGGACAAGCAGTCCCGGCACAGGGCGGGGGCGGGGGCGGGGGCGGGGGCGGTGTCTGTCCTAGAGCTGACCGGTTTAGTGGTGAAGCCCCAGGACATTGACCAGGGGGTGCCCTGCAGAGCGGGGTGCTGCCGTATGGCCTGGGCCGGGAGAAGCCCAAGTACAGCCAGGACATCGCCCGCATCACCTTCGACGTGTACAAGCAGAGCCCTCGCGATCTCTTCGGCAGCCTGAACATCAAAGCCACGTTCTACGGGCTCTACTCCATGAGCTGTGACATTCAAGGACTCGGCCCAAAGAGAATACTCAGGTCAGAGGCCACACGCCACACTTGCCCACCCCTACAGTTGCAGCCCCAGCAATTCCTTCTCATGCTGTCCCCCACCGTTAGCTCTCCCTTGTGGGAAATCCCCAGCCTCCAGCCTGTGGCCGCCGCCCAGGCTCCCCCCACCCCTGACTTCCTCCTGTCTCCACCCTGCAGGGAGCTCCTCCGATGGGCCTCCTCACTGCTGCAAGGCCTGGGCCACCTGCTGCTGGGCATTTCCTCCGCCCTTCGCCATGCAGTAGAAGGGTCTGAGCGGTGGCAGCGGCAGGGCCGCCTTAAACCCTACTGAGGAGGGGGTCTGAGCTTCCCCCCAGCCTCACCCCAAGAGACAGACTGTAAAGGACTGTGACAGCATTGAGCTTGGGGGCCTGCACGGTGCAGGCTGGCTAACTCACTGCTCTCCCCACTGTCCTCTGATGTGGTAACAACAGGCCCATCGGCATGATCCTTCCACTCCCAGCCTATACCCGTTCCTGACTGCCACACCCCTTCCTGACCATCGTTCCAGCCTCCCACTTACCCTGAAAGGCCACAGCCTGTCCCCAGGTGTCTGGATCCCATCCTGATTGCCGCTACATCTAGAAGGCATTACCGCTCCCCTGCTGTCCCTAGGCGCCTCGGTGCCCTGAACAGAGCCCTCTCTAACTTCACCTTGAGATCTCTATTTCTTTGTACCCTTCCCCCTGCAACATAACAGAAGTGTTTCCAATAAAAATATAAAAATGTTTATCGGTAAGACATTTGACTCCCATTTAAACTAGAACAGGGCAGGATAGATACTTCCTCTCCCCACCCCCCATCAACACCCAGTCCCAGATCCGAAGCCCTCAGTCTTCAAGTATGGAGTTCAAGGCCCGCCTCCGCTTGGCCACCGCCCCCTGCTCCCGCTCCCAAGCCTCTCGACGCTTCAGGAAGGTCGTCAGGGCCACGTTTCGAGCCACATGGTGGCCAAAAGGGTCTCTTATCAGCTCCTGGTTCTGCTCCCCTGCAAAGGGAACCATTCATGTTCAGTATCACCATGCACTCATCCCCCTAGGCTTGAAGAGACTCCACTTGGGGAGAAGGTCCCTCCATTTTTTTGGAACCCTGGGTCTGCTTCAGGATAGAGTTCACACCTCACTGTCCAAATAATAGAAATGGAAGCGGAGGGCTACACGGGGGTGGGCTGGGGGGAGGCAGCTCGGGGGCAGACTACATGGAGGGGAGGGGAGGGGAGAGCAGACTGCTCAGAACCCACAGCCAAAAGCACCCTTTTGAACTGAAGTCTGCTGAATTTAGGTCCACTCTCAGCCATCCAGCTTTTCAGAATAAGGAAAAGGAACGTCTGGAAAGGTCAAAGAGAGGCGCTCACCCAGCTCAGCAGCAATTTCCTTCCGGGCCCCCAAGGCTGCTCCGCTCCAGATAGCATCTAGCACACGGCTGCCATGGCGACTACAGGCCAGAGTCACATAATGTCCCTGCATTGAGATAAGAAGGTAGAGCCATCTAGGGCAGTCCATAAAAGGGCGTTGTTGGTGGGGGTGGGGTGGGGAGGTGAAGTTAGAGGCCAAGTTGAAGCAGTCTAGGAACTACACATCCTCTCTGTGACTGAAGGCCAGTCCCAGGGAAAGCACACACTCTCCATATGGAGGGATGGCAGAGGAATCAAAACAGAAGACAAATCTAACCTTTAGGGTCTTCAGCACGCGGCGGCGCTGCTTGCGTGTCACGGAGGGGCTGGAGAGGATGGCATCAAGCACATGGGAACCAGCAGGGCTTTGGGCCAGAGTCAGAAGCTGTGGTCCTGTCAAGGCACCGAGACTTCCAAGTATGAGACAAGGGCTGGAGAAGTGCAGCAGATGCTGGAGCAGGAGAGACCCAAGAACTGTGACCTCCCCCAGCTCCCTGGCGGTGGCCATTTCCACCTGAAAGGACAAAGACAGGGCATTAGGAGGCAGCCACCAAACTGCCACCCTCACTTGGATGAAGCCAGAGACCTCACCGCCCTCACCTCAGTGGTGAGGGGCTTCCTAAGCCCTGGGAGGCCTGGTTCCCAAGTAGTCACAGGCTTGGCCTCTCCCCTACCTCACCCACCTGGTGCTCCATGGGCACTGCCCCCTCCTCCTCCTCCAGTCCATAGTACACCTCATAAGCCATCAAAGTGGCAAAGAGGGGCACACAGGCCACTTGCCGGGAAGAGGGCTCTGCACAGTGGAATGCCTAGAAGGGAAGACAGAACGTGATGAAAATGAGAACTGCCTCATCCGACACCTTGGCTTTCCAGCCAGGGGAAAGCGTTCAGGACAGGTGCCTGACTCCACAAGGACACGAGCTGCATGCGGAGAGGATCTCATCTTCCTTGCTGTATTCACAGCCTCCGTATATATAACAGGAGCTGAATAAATATTTTTTCCTTAAAACTTCTTTGTCCTGGGAGACACTTTTCATTCCAGGGCCATGATATGGCTCTGGCTTCATTTCCCCCATACCTGTGAACTCGCTGGGCATCACATCCCATGGATCCAGAAATACAACAACTGAAGATTAGCTAAATCCTGGCAGGTAGAACTTGAAGTCAGGGTACAGATCGGTTGCGGGTAACCCCACTCACCTCCAACAAGAGCTGCAGGACCTGGGCTTGGTGGGTCCCAACTCTGCGGCAGGCGCCAACCAGGGCAGTGACTACCCCTGGGTGACCCTGGGCCAGCACAGCTTCCAGGGCGGGGCTCAGCTCCTCAAACACAGCGGACAGCTGAGGGGAGACATGGGATAAAAAATTTGACATTCTGCTAACAGGGGGCTAAGTTATTTGATGAAATCTTCCTGCCAAATGCAACTAAAAATTCTAGGTAAAACATAAAAGCATTGGCAACAGCAAGACTTTGGTTTGGATGGATAAGGAAGGTCCAGAACAAAAGGAGTCTTAGAGGTGAGGCCTCACATGGGGAGGGGAAGGATAAGGGAGGGCTAGAATTAAACCTGCCCTTCCATCCTAGCTCTCAACCCAGGGGATCCCAGCAAAGCATGCCTTGGCACTAAACAGCAAAGAGAAAGAGAAGCTATGAAAGCAGTTCTGCTGCTCACATGGATTTGCAGCCAAGCACCCAGAGACTGAGCAAGCCACAGAAGCTCAAGCTGAGAACTTGAATTAAGCCAATCTCCTAGTGGCACTGGCACCTGAGAAAAGCTAAAGCACATCCTTTCTGGGAAGAAGGCACCTTCACCCTAAGCTCTGGGAAGCCTCCAGGAGTGACTTCTCAAGAGGAATGGCCAGCACACTGTTGGAAATACAGAGGCATGTACGGAATAAAGCAAAGCCCAGTGAACAAAAACTAACAGAAACAGACTTGGCCAAGTTCGCAACTCACCAGCTCAGGGGTGGTGATAGCATCCAGGAAACGCTGCAAAGGGAAGTTGGCAATAGAATGTGCAGCCAAGGCCTGCAGCTGCCCTTGGAGGTGATCTTCAAAGAGGCTCTGGAGCCTTGGGGGCTCTGACACTAGCAGCACCTGCTCCAGGAGCCTGGAGCTTGTCTGATCTCGCAGAAACAGCAATAGGGGGCTGGGGACAAGGAAAAGGTGATCAGGTAGTCTTCACTTCATTCAAAATACATCACTGGACTTATCATGGTGATCATTTTGAAGTGTGCTGAAATAGCAAATCACTACCCTGTGTAACAGGAACTAACATAATGTTGTAGGTCACTTATACTTCAAGAACAAACAAATGAGGAAAAGAGATCAGATTTGTGGTTACCAGAGACAGGGGGTCTGGGGGAGGGGGAATTGGCTGGAGACAATCAAAAGTTACAAAATTCCACTTATAAGGTAAACATATACTAAGGATGTAATGCATAACATAATAAATACAATACTACCATATGTTATATACAAAAGTTGTTAAATTAAATCCTAAGAATTCCCATCACTAGGAAAAAAATTGTTTTTTTCTCATTTCTTTAATTTTGTATATAAATGAGGTGATGGATGTTCACTAAACTTATTGTGGTAACTGTTTCATGAGGTAAGCCAGTCAAATCATGCTGTATACCTTAAAATTATATAGTGCCGTATGTCAATTATATCTCAATAAAACTAGACAAAAAAGTAAAACACATATACAGAGAATGGAAACAAACAAAATACCACATCATGTCATTCATTTCACACAGCCTACCACCTTGATCAATCCTGAGGCCCTGTCCATACCTGCCATCTGCTGAGGAATTCCGGCTACTCAGATAGCCAATCACAGCATTGCAGAGGTGGGCACAAAACTGGGGCAGCTTGCTGTGTAAGATCTGTAAGGCCACTTGAAGGCAGAAGCTGGATATCTTGTCAGTGATAAACACTGTGGGGGAGGGCAGAAATAATAAAAGTGGCTTTCCCAAAATCCAGACAACCTACACAACCTCAAACCTCAGGCAACAAGGTACAAGGGACTATGGACAAAAATGGTCTAAACAGAGCCTTTACAACATCAAACCAGGCAAGATGTGAAAAAAAGAGGAATAAGAACCTTGTTTGATGATAATCCTCTCCAAAAAAGAAGATCTGAGATCTTCCTCTATTTCCCTCCTTACCAGCAATGTCCTTTAGAAAGCAGGAGCTGAGGTTCTGAAGGCAATTCAAGAAGGTTTCAGGGACCTCAAAATCAGTTGCCTTACATTCCCGAGATGGGGCCTTTTGTGCTTCTGAAGGAAAATCAAGAACATATACAGTGGTGAGACCACAGACTGCCATCCTGAAGAGAAAAGAATTACACAGCTGAACAAGGATTTGGCCTGGAGATGAAGAATGCATATGGTACAACTCAATGTCTCATCTCATCTCCATGACTGAACTGAGAATACATTTCCCTTTTAATTTTTCTAAGAAACTTCAACCAGATTCCGCATGGTCCATAGGAGACAGTCCAAACTCCTCACTCAGGAAATCAAAGTGTTCCAAAATCAGGCCTCACCTAAACTCACTATCCTATTTCCCAACATTTTTCAAAATGTAGCTCTGCTGCCTATGAGTATATTATGAAATCAATCCAATGGGTCTCAACAAGCACTTTTTAATGTAACACACAGAATAAAATGAAAAAGGAGGGAATTCCCTGGTGGTCCAGTGGTTATGGCTCTGCACTCCCACTGCAAGGGGCAAGGGTTTGATCCCAGGCTGGGGAACTAAGATCTTGCAAGCCACACATGGCATAGGAAAAAAAGGGGGGGGGGGGGGGGGGAGAAAGTATCAGTGGGTTGTGTAGAAGAATCTTGCTTCCTGACCTTTGGCTTGAATCCAATATGTGTATATACACACACATGTATACTGAATGATGCTTGAAAAATGTTTTCTTACTGTGAGCAGCTTGAGAGGCAATGCTCAAGTTAATCACCTCTTCCACTTGCCCCCATTCTCACAGCTGTCCCCTAAACACACATAGGCGTCCTCACCTCTGGGCCTCTACGTGCACTAATCTTTGGCCTGCTATAACCCTGTCCTAATTTTACCGCTAATTCCTCAAGGACATGAAGAAATCTTCTGCTTACTCTCTCCTGAACTTCCTAAACTCTCCTTCCCTGGAGGGCCACACCCCTTTCTTGTAATACTTACCAGGTGACTGGGAGCCTCGGTGCCTGGCTCTCTCAGACTCCAGAAGAGTCCCTCCCAATACCTGCAGCAAAGTTCTGACCATGAAGCTGCCATGTGTGTCTCCACAATAGAAAAGAAAATCATCAGAGACCTCAGCAGCTAGTCCCAGGACCAGTTCCTCCAGGGTCTCCACATGACCATCCTTCCCATCCTCCTCCTCCTCCTCTTCCTCCTCTGCAGGGCTCCCTAGCAATCGAGGCAGCTGCAGCAAAGCGCTTTGCAAAACGTGGACCCCACATCGATGACAGGCCACAAAGCGCAAATTGGAGTGCAGAGCGGCCCATACTCGACACAACGGCTTCCGGGAACTGAACCCCAACAGTTCTTGTAGCATCTCACTGCCACTCCGGTTTGTGGCCAAGGCTAGGGCCTGAGCCTCCACTTCTTTCAAAACATTGTGCACCATCAGCTCTGAAAAAAAACAAGAAATACATTAAAGAGAATGAGAGGAGGATAAGTTATGCTTTAAGGGAGACGAAACTAAGTCCTCACACCCTGGGGACCCACGAAATTGTCCTTACCTGTCCTGAATTTTATGCCCAACCAGTTTCTCCCTGATCCCTCTCCCCAAGTTGCTCCCTACCTCGTTCTTCTCCCGTCTCAGGGGCCTCTTTCAGCGCGGACAGCGCCCGGCGGAAATACCCCAGAGCTTCTGGGCTCAGGTGAGGGTGCTCATCTGGGGCCAGTTCCGAGCGCCCATCCGGAGGCGGGCAGGGATGTCGCTGGCGGCTTGGTGGGGGGCGCCCGGCGCCCTTGGCCCCGCGCCCTCGTTTTCCGCCAGCTGGGAACCGGCGCCCCTGTTTGTGGGGGGAACCTGGACCCAGGCCCATGGGTGCGTTGGGGCCGCTCCGCCCGGAAAAGCTGCCTCAGCCGCTGGGGGAACCTCAGTCAGCCGGGTGCGGGCCTGGACCCAACAGAGTTTAGAAACTCCGGCACGCTTAAGGCGCAGCATTAGACGTCATAGCCTCGCGACGGCCTCTCTGGGGAAGGCGTGGCTGAGTCTCTGGATCGCCCCGCTCCGCTGGCGGGTCCTGGCCTTCGCCCCTTGTCCTGGCTCCTGAGTGTGACGGTCACACGGAGTACTATTTGACCCAATCCTCCGAGTCTCCTGCGGAAACCGGGCCAGAACGTGAACTTCGACTCTACTGTCGTCCTCTTGACTCCTTGCCCTGCCCCTGCGACCAGAATTAAAATTCCTCGACTTCGAGAACTTCGTGAGCCAGACGGCGCGAGAACTCGAGGGGCAGCACAGGTGGCAGGTATGGAGTTCGAGCTCCCTCCACTTCGGGCTCAGGGTCCCTGGGCCTCGCGCCAACCCTCCACCCGGAAGCCGCACCTCTGAGCGAGGGGCCTGAACTCCATAGCTCAGGACTCTGCAAGACGTGCCGAGAGGGACTGCCCCGCCACAGTCCCACTCAGAGTCCCACTAAGTGGCCGGCCAGCACAGCCCCACCCAGCCCCCTTCTTCGCTTCTTGGTCTCCCAAAAAGGACAGCCAACCTTATCGGGGCCTGCGCTAGTTATCCCTCTCAGAAACTTCTCTCCCCATCAAAGGATCTCAACTTTGGCTCCCTTTCCTGCCTCTATCAGGATCACCCCCCTCCGACATAACGCAGTCTGTTGCTTCCCTCAGAGCAAGTCCTTGCTTCCACAGATTTAACCCCTTTGCTTGCTGAGTCATGCCTGCTCCCATGAAGGGCCAGGTGTGCGTGGTGACTGGTGCCTCCAGGGGTATTGGCAGGGGCATCGCTTTGCAGCTCTGCCAGGCAGGTGCCACAGTTTACATCACTGGCCGCCACCTGGACACGCTGCAGGCCACTGCTCAGGAGGTGAGTGCCTCCTCTGGAGTCCCAGGGGGCAGAAACCACCTGAGGGATATCTTTCCATTAGCTACTCCTCTTAATCCCTTACCGGAAACCAAAATATTCCTCAGTAAGCATGAACATTTATTCTAAGTGGGATAAGTAAACCCCATAAGTAACTTCAGATCAGGGCACATTTTGCCATTAAGTGAATTTTATGAAAAAAAAAAAAACTTTATTTGAGAGCTTTAGGGATTTTGGAATTGCATTTCAGGAGTTGTGGACCTGTGCTCTTTCTCTTTCTTGTTAAGATTTTATTGAACTGTGTGTGTGCATTAGATTTTTCTACTGAATTTCAGTTAAATAAATTTTGGGGTGCCTTTGATTTTCTAGGCACTGGAGTTACCAAATTTAGTAAGACATAACTTCTGCTCTGAAGTCTAAGGCAGAAATGGATCATTTCAATGTAATGTGAATACAGGAAGTGATAAGAGATGAAAGTAATGAATATGAACATGATAAGTGATAAGTGTGCCCAGAATGTACTAGAAATGTAAGTGAGCAGTTAGGCAGGGAGGTCAGAGGGTGGGACCCAGAGCATGAATCTTCAGGATATGAGGATTGTTCTTGAATAAGTTATTCTTCTTTTTCAAGTTAGAGGAGGGGACACATTTGTAGAAGGTGAGGCAGAATAGGAAGTAGAGATAGTTCATGTCTGAGAGCTTTGTTTTTTCATTTACCAGGCGGCAGTGTTGGTGGAGTGAGGGTAAGAAGGCTGGTATTGAGTTGAGATTCCAGATGAGTGGTGAAGGGTGGGAGCTAAGGGCACGAGAGATGGAAATGACCAAGAATGAGGAAAAAGAACTCCTTTCTCAAGAGAGCCTCCAAGCCTATTTGTCCCTCAGCCTCCACATGCAGAGTAATACAATACCTTGCACATAGTAGACCTCAGAAAATGTCTGTAGATTTTAAACCTGAGATTCCCCATCCACCTTGCTCTGCGATGACAGTACCTAGCATTACTGAAACTCCTCAAACAGACACCAGAGGGCAGTATTGCCCACCATGTTGCCTCAGCTACTGCCTGAGTCCTAGGATTGCCTTAACTCCCACGTTGGGGCTAACGGGAGCTGAGTTCTGTCTCAGGTTGTGGACTCGGAGCTCATATCCCTTCTGTCCCTCTCCAGGCGCAATCCCTGGGAGGCCGGTGTGTACCCGTGGTGTGTGATTCAAGCCAGGAGAGTGAAGTGCGAAACCTGTTTGAACAGGTGGATCGAGAACAGCAAGGACGTCTGGATGTGCTGGTCAACAATGCCTATGCTGGGGTCCAGGTGCTTTTTGAACTTCGACCTCAGCTCCACACATCGGACCTCCCCCTCTGACCTCTGAGTCTTCATCCCCACTGGTTGTCCCTCCCATTATCCAGCCCCTTCTTGCCTCCAGAGCATACTATTCATCACTCTTCCTGTACCTTCCAGCCGATCCTGAACAACTCTAAGAAGTCATTCTGGGAAAGCCCCGCCTCCATTTGGGATGACATCAACAACGTCGGACTCAGGTAGGTGCTTCCCTGGCCACCCACCTAAGGGCCTGGGCTCCCCTCAGTCACTCAGCCAAGCATGAACAAGTGTCCTCTCCTTTTCCTTCTGATCTCCTTGTCTCTTTCTTCTCCCATCTATCCTATTTGTCCACTGACCTCTGAAGAAGTTTCATCCAGGTGAATCTGGACCCAGGAATGTCAACTTCTGCCTTGTTTCTGTCAGTAGTTTTCATCTGAACTTGCCCTTGCCCGCTCTCCTGTCTCACTCTCTGCTTGTTCAAATGCAAGATCCATGAGGAAGCCTCTTTCCCTCGGTAAAGCATGGACTATGTCCAAACATGGCTAGAGGAAAGAATTGTTTTGTTTTAGATCAGCAGAAGGTCAGTAAGGAAGATTGAGTGCCAGCCATCTTAGCCTTCCCCTCCTCACTCCAGGCCCACAGGCCTGGAGTTCCAGGCGTGAGTAGAGAGGGCAGGGGTTTCACATACATCTGGAAAAGGAATGAGATGAAACACAGCGTTTACAGTTCACCCAGCATGACATACATCCTTCAAGTCTGTGTTTATTGTTGGGAAGAGGGTACCCTCTCAGAAACTATACTGCATGGATGTGATTAGCCACCTGTGGGAGTCACCCAGAGATTATATGCAGATCTATGCCTAAAGCATCTAAGGAAACCCTCGGCTACTAGTGGCAATCCCAGGGAAGCAGGATTACAATCCACTTGTCATTTCCAAAGTGGAATAAATGTTGTGAGGAGAGGGAGATGGTCAAGCAAGAGTCAAGAAAACCCAAAGAGCTAGAAATTGGCAACACCCATGGCCTTAGCCCTCTAAAGAGAGGGGCCTTCCACACTCTTATCTCTTGCTGGTCAGGGTTTTGAGCCTGCAATGCAAAGGCCCAGACCCTGGTGCCTGAGCCCTGATGAATTCTCCCAACGAAGGTTACTCTGGGAGCCTGCTCTGGGACCCTGCCAGAAGCACACCAACACCTCCTCTCACCTCTCAGACACATACTTATTGTGCCTTTCCTCTGCATTGCCTGAGGCTGGCCTTCTTTGTGATACCATAACTCACTCTACTTGTTTTCATTTGGAGAGTCCTGTCTCCTGTGCAGAAGAAATGCTTTTCTGGTTATCAAGTATGTGTGTGTGATTTTTTTTAAAATATACTGTGTAGACCAGTGTAATCATAGTCCCCTAGTCACCACCCCTTTCTCTTTTGTCCGAGATATTGTTGTTGTTGTTTAGTCAATAAGTCACGTCTGACTCTTTTGCAACTGCATGGACTATAGCCTGCCGGCCTCCTCTGTCCATGGGATTTCCCAGGCAAGAATACCGGAGTAGGTTGCCATTTCCTTCTCCAGGGGATCTTCCTGACCCAGGGATCGAACTGACATCTCCTGCTTTGGCAGGTGGATTCTTTACCTCTGAGCCACCACGGAAGCCCCTAAATATACTGGGTAGATTAGTATAATCTTATTCCATAATCACCACCCCTTTCTCTTTTGCCTGAAATGTAGCTACTGTTAATATCCTAGTATATATTCTACCGTTCATTTAAATATTCCACTGGGAAGAGATACCATAATTTATTTATCTAACCGCTTATCTGTTGCAATAGTGGGAAAAAATTGGGCTAAAAAATATGTACCTCAGAGATTTTAGTAAACATTATCAAACTGTCCTCTAAAAAGACCCCACCAATTTATAATCTCAGGATGATGAAGGGGAATATCTGTTTCCCCACGTCCTCTATCATACTAGACAATATCAGGCCAGGAGGTCAGGCAAGTTTGGCCATTCTGTTAAGCCAAAGATATCTGAAGGTATTTTTTTAATTCACATTTCTCTTTTATTTGTGAAGTTGAGCTTTTGTTTTTTACATTTATATTGGTTCTTTATTCTTTCATGAGTTGTGTTACTAAATTATTCTTTTCATATCAATTTATAAGAGGCCTTTGTAGAATAGATTCCTTTAATGTGTATTTTATAAATATCTTTCCCAATTTATTACTCGTTACTTGCCTGCATGCTTTTCTCAACTCTCTAAACATACTTAAATGTATATATACATGTATGTATCTGTATATCTACATATATACATATGTCTTAATGGCAATAAGTCATTTATATCTTAGTGTGGTACTGAGACAAGCTTCCCCTACCTCAGGCTTATTTATACATTGTCATACTTTTATTGCTTTTAGGCACTCATTTTTTTATACCCAAGTATTTTGGGAACGCATTTTAAAGCAATAAATGAGGTAGAGAATCCATCCCACCCATTAAATAACTGACCGTGCATGCATGCTAAGTCACTTCATTCATCTCCAACTCTGAAGTGGACTGCAGCCAGCCAGGCTCCCCTGTCCTTGGGATTCTCCAGGCAAGAACACTGGAGTGGGTTGCCATGTCCTCCTCCAGGGGATCTTCCTGACCCAGGGATCAAACCTGCATCTCTTACGTCTCCCGCATTGGCAGGCAGGTTCTGTGCCACTAGTGCCCCTCGAGAAGCCCGCATTATTTGTTGGCCAGATGTTTTTGTTGTCTCTCAGTTGTGTCTCCAAGGGTTGGACACCACTGAGCGACTGAACAGCAACCAGCTCCCCCTGTTGGTTTGAAATGTTCCCTTACTACTTTGCTGAATTCTTCTTTACACTTGGATTAACTATTGAGTGTTTTGTTTCATTGACTTACTTAAGTATTATAATGCCAGTTCTGAATTCTTTTTAAAAAATATTTATTTACTTATTTGGCTGAGCCAGATTTTGGGTGTAGCAGGTGTGATCTTCGACCTTTGTTGCAGCATGTGGGATCTATGTGGGGTCTAGTTCCCTGACCAGAGATTGAACCCTGTACATTGGAAGCTCAGAGTCTTAGCCAGTGGACCACCAGGGAAGTCCTCTGCATTCTTTTAACTAGTATGTCATCATACATTTTACGATGTAGGAGGGCAGGGTGAGGGCAGCATATCCTCCTCACCCACAAGATATTATTCTTCCTTTTTCAGAATTTTCCTGGCTATTTTCACACATTTATTCTCATTGACCTTTAGATTATTATCAATTTCTCCAGAAGTCTTATTGAGATATAACTCAAGTTGACTGAATCTGTGGATTAATTTAAGCAGAACTCAAGTTTTACATGTTGGTTCTTCTAAACAGATTCTGTCTGTACTTGTTCTTTTTTTACATATTTAGGTAAGAAGTGGATTTATTTAGAGAGAAACACAGTCCACACATAAGAGTGTGGGCCACCTCAGAGGGAGAGAGCGGCCTGTACTTATTCTTTTATATTAAATAGAACTTTATAGTTTTTCCTTGTAGATCCTATGTGTTCATTATATTTTATCCCCCCGAGCTATTTTAGCTTTGTTGTTGCGGTCATGACAGAGCACTTTTCTTCTGTTACAGCCTTCTAAAGATTGCCGTTTCTCCTCCTTCAGTGGTTAATTTTTCCTATGGGTTTCTTAGACTGTGGCCTCAAGCCCCTGGTTCACCAGGTTGGCGGCCCTGTTGGAGAAGGAAATGGCAACCCACTCAAGTATTTTCGCCTGGAGAACCCCATGGGCAGAGGAGCCTGGCAGGCTATAGTCCATGGGGTTGCTAGAGTCGGACACAACTTAGTGACTAAACCACCACCACCGCTGGCTCAGAAGCCACTAGGGGGCAGAAGAAGCTTCTCAAGACAGCCCTGAGTGGTTCATTTTTTCTTCTCTGCCCCACCTTCTAGAGGCCATTACTTGTGTTCAGTGTATGGGGCTCGGCTGATGGTACCAGCTGGCCGGGGGCTCATCGTGATCATCTCCTCCATTGGGGGGCTGCAGTATCTCTTCAATGTCCCCTATGGCGTGGGCAAAGCTGCGGTGAGGACACACTGGGGCAGGGGTTGGGGTGGAGAACAGTCCCAGTACCCGTAGCTCAGGAGAGATGGTTCCCGGTGATCCAGGCGGTGAGGCTGACTGGCCCTCACCTCTTCCTCTGCCCCTGCATAGACAGCTCCTTAGCCTGGGCTCCTCTCAGCTGGCCGGCCAGTGCACTGGGGAAGGTGGATAGCTAAGACAGGGCTCCTGGGAAGGCCAGGGGTTTGGGGCATCCTCGGCAGAAGCAGGCAAGGCAGGAGAGGGAGGTGACACAACCAGGTGCCTTGACTCCCACCCGGCCTTCTGTCCCTCTGCAGTGCGACAGGATGGCTGCTGACTGTGCTCAGGAGCTGCGGCGCCACGGGGTCAGCTACGTGTCTCTGTGGCCAGGGTTGGTGCAGACAGAACTGCTGAAGAAGCACATAATGAAGGAGGAGGATGCTTCAGATCCCCTGATTAAGCAGGTGGGCAAGGGGAGGGCGAGGGTGGCAGGGAATGCAAGGAACCAGTCTTTTCCTCCCCAATGACAAGACAGTAACAGCAACAAAGAGTAAATACCAGGGCTCACTGTGGCAGGCGCAGGGCTGAGCACTGACGCACATTCTGTCCTTCACTCCATAAGGGAGACGGTAGCTCCATTTTACATATTGGGAAACTGAAACTCAGGGAGGTTAAGAAACTTGCTCAAAGTCACATATCCTGTAAGTGGAAAGACTATCCACCGCCAAAGCCCATAATCTTGACTCCACTCTGAACTAATTTAGAAGGCCAGATGCAGTTCACATCCCCATATTCTTCCACTTAGGAAAGGCAGAAAGGCAGTGGGTACCAGTACCCGGGTACAGAGCTCACTGGATGTGGGAAGGAGTGATTCCCATACCTTCCCAGATGCTTAGCCCTGCAGGTTCAGTGACAAGGGCCTCCCTCTCCTGGAACAAAAGCTGAAAGCAGGAAAGGGACTTGGGCAGTGCTCTTGGAAATTAACCCTTTACTCTCTGCCCCTGTGTTTCAGTTCAAATTTCGTTTCTCATCCGCGGAGACCACAGAAATGAGTGGCAAATGTGTGGTGGCATTGGCAACAGGTGAAAAGGTTGGGGGCAGCTGGTAACAGGAAAGGGCATGGAGGATCTACAGGGTGGTGGCCACTGGTCCTGAGTCCTGAGCCAGGAATATACCCTTCTTTTCTATGGCTTCTGGACACCCAAAGGGTCCGATGCCCAGTTTGAGGTGTGGGGGCCTCAGGAATTGGATCCTGGGAACGGTGGCCAGGAGCCAGAGGCCCAGAAACCTTCTTAGGAACAGAAAGAAACAAATATGGGCTCTTACGCCTGTCTTGGTGATGCCCTGTGCCTTTGGGCCCAAGCCTTGTCACCCTGGGCCATTCGCAGGCTGTCTCAGCTGTCTGTGTGCCCACAGATCCCAATATCCTGAGCCTGAGCGGGAAGGTGCTGCCGTCCTGTGACCTGGCGCGGCGCTACGGCCTGCGGGATGTTGATGGTAAGAGCTCTGGCCCAGCGGCCAGCCTGAACCTTTCCTTCTTCTGTTTCCAGCTTACTTCTTCTCCCACTCTCTCCCTTCCTCCCTCACATTCTACTTGGTCTCTGCAGCCACGTGGGGGTGTCTGAGGAATGGGAAACAAGGATCTAATCCTCATTTTCCTGTGGTCCACAGGCCGCCCTGTCCAGGATTATTTGTCCTTGAGCTCCGCCCTCTCCCATGTCTCCAGCCTGGGCTGGCTGGCGTCCTACTTACCTGGGTTTCTCCGGGTGCCCAAGTGGGTCATGACCCTCTATGCTAGCAAGTTCTAACCCTGCTGGCCTCACATGACTCTGCTTCCCTTTGGGCTGAGTGGTTGGTCTGTCTCAGCTGGAACGCAGCCGCCTTCCCCGCTTGCCTGCAGCACACCCTTGATCTGAAGAGAAGTCTCTGCTCTGCCCTGGTTGAGCCCTGGGGGTCTTTATAGGTCCTTCTTCAGGCCTTCCTTACCCCTGCATTTTACTTTTTGCCTTAACACTGAAAAATGTTCTAGGGGCTAATAATAAAGCTCTCATTTCTCCTTCAACTCGTTTCCGAGCGCTTATCCTTTGTTCAGCAAGATGGTAGGTACTTTAGAGAAAGACCTAACAATATGCAACGTGTTGAGGCTCTCAAGCAGCTGCGTCCACAGGACAAGGCCCCTTTCCTCCACACCTGCTCCTGCTCTTCCCTGTAGAGCTGCCCGTCCCATGCCCCAGCCAGGGAGTGGGGTACCTCCCCAGCCAGAAGCAGGCACACCCCTTTTTGTCACTGCTTTCCCGTGCCCTCATTCTGCCGTCTCTTCAGGGATGCCCACTGCCTTCTAGCTGGGCCTGATCCCAGGGTGAGGTCCAATCCAGGGAGGGCAGAGTCCGTGATGTTCAGGATTTCCTGGAATTGGGGAGGAGAATCCCCAGAGAGAGGCAGAGGACTAGCTGACAGCACTGACATGCTCGCATTCTCCCTCTTGGGATGATACCCCAGGAACTGTTTCCTGAAGAACTGATCACAAGAGCCTTTCAGGGCTGCCTTCCCTGCTTGGGGGTCTGTCCCAGCCTGAGGCACGGCAACAGGGGGTGTGTTCCAAAGAGGAGCCAAGGGCCCCTTTGAGGCCACCTTCCCGCCAGCAGCTCCACAGTCATCAAGGTAATGGGAGAGCTACTATAAATCAGAGTGGCAGAGGCCATTTCTCATCTTCAGAAAAGGCAGGGGAAGAGCCAAGGCTTCCCACAGCTGCCCACAGGGCCTGCAGAAGCTGCGATCTTCCCGTGGCTTTCTGGGAACAGCCCCCGGTTATTGCTCCAGTGACTGCTGGGGTGGCTCTCTGACCCATGAGAGCTGATATCTGCATCTCCTCCAATCCTGCAGCCAGCGACTTCACAGTGGTTGCTTGAGTTCAGCCATGGTGAAAATATACATGCTACGGGAATCAACAACTGCTGTCAATCAGGGTTTGTTTGTTTTTTTTTTTTAAAAAAGAGCCAGCCAGCTTACAAGCATGTGACTGGAACTGCATACCTAAACTCCACCATTTGCCAAGGCACCCCATTTAAATCACAGCGATCAGATTTCCTCACCACCCTCTCACCCCCTTCCACTCACCACCTTAATTCCCCTGAGATTGGTCAGGGGCAGCAGCAATTGCCTATATGCTTTAAGAAGGACAAGGACCTTAGGATCTCCTCCAGCCTTCCACAGCCATCTTTAAAAGCCATCGTTGGGACAGATCCTTTCATGAGGGCCTTGTCCCCTAAAGGCCACAAGGCATGATGGGAAGAACATGGGCTTCAAAGGTGTACAAATCTGCATACAAATCCTGACTCCACCCCTTTGAAAATTAAGGGAAATAACACATATGGGCCAAGCAATATAGAGCCAGTAAAGTTGTCAGTTCTTTCTCTTGACAAATATGCAAGAGTATGCTTTGCAGCAGGCACCTTTCTTGGCTTTGGGAGAGCAGAGAACCAGAGTAGGCTCCAGCCCACAGAGGACTTTTATTCAGCCCTGGAAGACCTTAGAAGTCAGCTAGACTTTCCACTTACCATAGGAAGTGAGTGAACTGGGGCTCTAAGAGTCCACACCATGCAGGGTGCAGCCTTGGTCCTGGTGTCTCAAGAAGCTGGAGGGAGCAGTTTTCTTCAAAAGACGCCACACTGCTTCCCTCCAACAAGACATAATTAATCTTAGAAATGTAAACAGTATAGTAGAGGTCTGAGAGAATGAAACATGGACAGTGAGTGTTGATTGGCAGTAGAAGAGTGTCAAGATCTGAGAAACCCAATAGCAGGGAGTCCTAGGATGTGTTGGGAGTCAGCATGCATTCAGAAACATTTCTTTGACACCTGCATTCTGCCCAGCACCATGCTAGAGAAAGACTAGTTCAGTTTGGTGAGATGAGTGCTACAATAAGTTACACAGTACAGAGTGCAGGAGGAAGCAGCTGGCTCCATTAGGGAATTGAAGGGAGTGATATTGATCAGAGATTTAAAGAATGGGGGTGGAGTATTTTCCTAACTAGGGGAGAAGAAAAGGTATTGAAACGCAGAACGTTGCAGGACAGCTAGAAGTTGCTATGACGTAAGTGTAGATGTGATATGGGATAAATTTTCAGAGAAAGGAGATGAATACAGATCAGTGATTAAGATTTAAATTGTGGGTGGTAGGTTTCCACATGAGGGATTCATCTTAGACACTGAGTGACTATTAAGGCAGAATACCCAGGAGAGGTAGGTGGTTGGAGAGAGGACAGCTGGAGCTCCAGTTCAGCTGTGGAGGCGACTTCCCTCGGAGCCCAGCGGGACAGCCTTAGAGTGTACGGCCTCAGGGTAGCTCTGCTGGGGCGAGGAGCTGGGCTTTCACTCCCCACCACCAGTACCACTGAGGAGTCACCAGCCACAGCGTGGCCCAGGTGGGGCTGGGCGGGGTAAACCAGGTCCAGGAGATCAGGGGCAGCCCTCCAAGAAGAGCTGCAGGTGTCAACCCTGAAAGCACATTGAAGGGGACGTTGGGTACAAAAATAGAAAGGGGTATCCAGGCAGAGCTGGGCAGAGCGCTAACGCTGTTGGCTACAAGAAGATGGAAGTGGGAGAGGAGTGTGCACAATTTGTATTTGAGGAAGCTGACTGGGGCTCAGGGGTGGGGAAGATGGACCAGGGGAAAACAGGCAGGCATCAGAAGAGCTGCGTGGAGCCTGACCAGTGTCCCAGGATGTGATGGCAATGGGGGTATGGGCTCAGGAGAGATTGCAGGAGGCAGAGTCGACAGACGGGGCCTGTCGGAAGAGAGGGGGCTGATGCAGGACTGCTATAGTGTTACCACAAGCACGCGGGTCGTGAAAGTAACAACAGGCACAGAGAAAGAAAGTGTGCTGGAGCTATGAAGGAGACACCAGCCTGCCGGAGGTCAGCCCTGGTGGGACACAGGGGCTGCTGAGATGGAGCCCCCACCCCTACCAGAGCAAATCTAGGGACTTGGCCAGTCCCCAGGAGATGCTTAATCCCCTAAAGGAGCCCAGGGAAGGATGGAAAAGAGACTTTTGATTAGCATTTTAAAATGTACACTTATAAAACACAACATTCATGTAAGTCAGAATCCAAAAGGTAGTGCTCGCTTTGGCAGCACATATACTAAAATTGGAATGATACAGAGATTAGCATGGCCCCTGTGCAAGGATGACACGCAAATTCATGAAGTGTTCCATATTTTTAAACAAATGGGACCTAATTAAACTTAAAGCTTTTGCACAATGAAGGAAATACAAGCAAAGTGAAAAGACAGCTTTCAGAATGGGAGAAAATAATAGCAAATGAAGCAACTGACAAAGAATTAATCTCAAAAATATACAAGCAATTCCTGCAGCTCAATTCTGGAAAAATAAATGACCCAATCAAAAAATGGGCCAAAGAACTAAACAGACATTTCTCCAAAGAAGACATACAGATGGCTAACAAACACATGAAAAAATGCTTAACATCACTCATTATCAGAGAAATGCAAATCAAAACCACAATGAGGTACCATCTCACGCCGGTCAGAATGGCTGCTATCCAAAAATCTACAAGCAATAAATGCTGGAGAGGGTGTGGAGAAAAGGGAACCCTCTTACACTGTTGGTGGGAATGCAAACCAGTACAGCCATTATGGAGAACAGTGTGGAGATTCCTTAAAAAACTGGAAATAGAACTGCCATACGACCCAGCAATCCCACTGCTGGGCATACACACAAGGAAACCAGAATTGAAAGAGACACATGTACCCCTGTGTTCATCACAGCACTGTTTATCATAGCCAGGACATGGAAGCAACCTAGATGTCCATCAGCAGACAAATGGATAAGAAAGCTGTGGTACATATACACCATGGAATATTACTCAGCCATTAAAAAGAATACATTTGAATCAGTTCTAATGAGGTAGATGAAACTGGAGCCTATTATACAGAGTGAAGTAAGTCAGAAAGAAAATCACTAATACAGTATACTAATGCATATATATGGAATTTAGAAAGATGGTAATGATAACCCTATATGCAAGACAGCAAAAGAGACACAGATGTATAGAGCAGTCTTTTGGACTCTATGGGAGAAGGCGAGGGTGGGATGATTTGAGAGAATAGCATTGAAACGTGTATATTACCATATGGAAATAGATCACCAGTCCAGGTTGGATGCATGAGACAGGGTGCTCAGGGCTGGTGCACTGGGATGACCCTGAGGGATGGGATGGGGAGGGAGGTGGGAGGGGGGTTCAGGATGGGGAACACATGTACACCCATGGCTGATTCATGTCAATGTATGGTAAAAACCACTACAATATTATAAAGTAATTAGCTTCCAATTAAAATTTAAAAAAAAAAGAATCCAAAAGGTATACCAAGGTAATGTGAGAAGTCTTCCTTTTATCCCTGCTCACCAGTGCCAGTCCCAATCTAGAAGCAGCCACAGAGAGAGCCCATGCCTGTGGAAGCAGAGAGCTAAGCTTACTCAGAGAAGAGATTTGACTGCATGCAAATCTAGGCCTCTCTTGCGCTAAAGGGTTGTATTTTCCAGGCTCCAAAGGCCTGTTCTGGCCCTTGTGTCCTAACCTTCTAAGCAAGGGGCAGCCCTGGGTCCAGAGGCCCCGCCACTTCCCATGTTCTTATGCAGGTGCTCCCATTGCCAAAATCTTCCCTACCCTACAGGCAGGGAGAGTAAGAGAAACAGCAACTGAAGGCCTAAGGAATGGAGAAAAATGGCTGCAAAAAGCAACAGTGGTGCCGAGGAGCCAGGCCTCAGCAGCCTGGCCAGCCCTGGGCTCCTCAGAAGTGGACCCACACTGCTCCTGCAAGAGGCACATCACACCTGAAGTGGATTCCTCTAGAGCAACTGTCCAAGGGTTAGGGGTGCCCAGGTGAGGCCACCTGTGGAGCTTTTATCCCCAGGGAGTCCCCAGGGAGGTAGCTCTGAGCAACCGGCTGACACAAAAAACAAGAAGGTGATGGAAGCAGGGCAGAGCCAAGCGGTCTCAGATTCCAGCTTTCGGTCATTGTCATACATAAGGCATAAGCTAAATGACACTCCCACCAGTGCCATAACAGCTCTAAGGCCAACCATCAAAGATCAAAATGTGGGTGGTGGCCCAGTTCCCGGAAATCTCTGTCCCTTCCCCAAAATAGTTGGAATAATTCACCTGCTCATTAGTCTGTGAAATTACTCAGCCCATAAAAACTGACACCCCATATTTCTGGGCTTCCTGTCTTCCGAGACGGCCCACACTCTGTCTGTGAAGCATGTTTCTCTCAAATAAATCCACTTCTTACCCATCCCTTTGTCTCTCATTGAATTCTTTCTGCAATGAGACATCAAGAACCCAAGCTTCATTAAGTCCTGAGAACAGGCCTGTGATCTCAATTAAAAGACCATGAGGGGGGACTTCCCTGGTGGTCCAGTGGTCAAGAATCTGCCTGCCAATGCAGAGAACACTGGCTTGATCCTTGGGCTGGGAAGATTCCACATGCCACTAAGCGTCTAAACCTGTGTGTCACAACTTCTGAAGCCTGTGCGCCCAGAGCCTATGCTCTATGAGAGAAGCCACTGCAATGAGAAGCCTGAGCACTGGCAGCTAGAGAGTGGCCCCCATTTGCTGCAACTAGAGAAAGTCCACGAGCAGCAAGGAAGATCCAGCACAGCCAAAAATAAATAAAAATTTAAAGTGTGACTCTCCATAAACAAACAAAAAAAAAGATGATGGGGGATTTCCCTGGTGGTCCAGTTGTTAAGAATCTGCCTTGCAATGCAGGGAACATGGGTTTGATCCCTGGTCAGGGAATTAAGATCCCACATGCTATGGAGCAAGTAAGACCACATGATGCAAATACTGAGCCTGCAAACCACAACTAGAGAGTCTGCGTGCCTAAAGGAAAGATCTCACAGGACACAGTGAAGATCTGGACTGCCGCAACCAAGACCCGAAACAGCCAAATAAATATTTTTAAAATGTTTAGGCTTTAGCATTTAAAATAAATACACAAATAAAAAACTGTGGGTTCAAGTCCCATTCTGGGTTTAGGCTGGGCTCGAGTCCCAGTTAGAGTTACACGGTTTCGGCAGTGTAAATAGGGGGCTGGCTGTAAATGTCTAACCTGGAGCCCATCTATTTCCTGCCTCAGCTCCCTGCCCCCTGTTCAGGGGTCTGGGGCCTGGGAGAGGACTGCATAAGACAGCTGCCAGCTGTCGGGGCACGGGGGGCCTCTGTGGGAGCAAGCCCTGGGGAGGCTGGCCAACGCTGCATGCTCCCTGAACCTCAGCTCCGGGTCCTCCCTGCCCCACCCTTCCACTCCCCTCGGAACTCAAGCCTGAGTCATGATGGGTGCAAAGGGGATACAGAGACACAGTGCTGCTTTAGTCAGCAATGCCAGCTGTTCTGCTTCTTTGCACTGAATTCAGAGCTTCCACACCACTCCCTGTCCACTTCCTCCCCACCTCGCATGAGGCCTAGGGTGCAGACACCTCTGACCACCTTTCCTCACCTCACCCTAAGCTCCCGGCTCTGGGATCTGAAGGATCTAAGTCCCAACTCGCCTCCTCTTCCCCACCCAGATGGGTGCAGCATGTCTTGCTCTGACCACCATGGCTCACCATTCATGCATTCATTCTTTCCCAGGACCACTACCACCACCACTAGCTTTATCTCAATACCCTAGGGGTATTTAATTTTCCTGGGGGGCACTTACGTCTTGATGAAACCATCTTTTTTATGTATTTGCTTCTATAGAGTGGGTCTCCCCAGCTTGAGAATAAGCTTTAAGAGAGCAGGGACCTTGGCCGTCTTCGTCGTGCTATGGGGTGAGCTGTATTGGTACTCAGGGATTAGTACTCAAGGATTGACTAGCTGAATTATGCAAATGTTGTTGAGTGGCTACCATGGTGCAGGCACTGGACTAGGTGAGGGGGCACGCAATCAAAGCAGCCTTCTTGACAGAGCGTGGCCGAAGAGAAAGCAGGGATGTGCACCCCCACAGGATGACCTGACTGCAGGCACCATAGGGCCTCCTGCCGGGGAGGCACAGAGGAGATGTGTGTTTGAGCCCCAAGCCAAGACTCCTCCCCGGCACCTGCAGCCCCAACTCCAAGATCACTTCCCTGGGAACCTCACCCACTAGCATAAGAGCTCCCCCAGAGTCACACTTGTCTTTCTAAGGGCAGAGCTGTAATGTTACATTTGCCTATTAGATTATTTGACTGCCTCTCTATACTGTTACCAAAGGTTCTATGGGACAGCTTTGCTCAGGACCATAAGCTCCATGCATCCATTTGGCCTTGATGCCTACCATGGCATCCAGGGCTGTGGCACCCAGTCACTGTCTGTTGAACAAATGCATGGACAGGGAAGAGGTAAGAGCTGGATCCTCCCCAAAGCAAGCAGCTCCTCCTTCCTGGGACTCTCTTCTGTCCCCTGTTCTCATCTACCAGCCAGAGCACCCCACAGTCTCACATTGTTCCAAGGATTCCATTTCTCATGCAGGCATAGAACCTCAGGGCTACTACTTCTTGGCACCACTCACATTGTATATGCCCCAAACCCAAGGCATACCCTCGAGTTGTGCACTGGTGGTTGTCATTCAAGCTCTGCCAGGCAGTGAGTTTCTTGGCCACGTTCCCAGCCTCACCACACTCTGGGCAATTTTAAGGCAAGGTTCTCGTCTTCACCAGCCACCATGCAGTACCTGGCTCTTGTAACAGAGACTA